GTAGAGGTCAGAGGTCTGGTCTTTCTTTCACCATAGGCTCCAGGGATCGGAGCTCAGGTTGTGAAGCTTGTGTGGCAAGTACTTTCCCTCTCACCTTCCCTTGTGGCTCTTGTTTACCCATTCTCTGGAACATGGGAGATGTCTGGAAATGCATTGTTAAATGAACTAATAGATTTTGTTTTCAAACTGTAACACTGAGCCGGGGGGTGGTGGCGCACGCCTTTAATCCCAGCACTTGGGAGGCAGAGGCAGGCGGATCTCTGTGAGTTCGAGGCCAGCCTGGACTACAGAGTGAGTTCCAGGAAAGGCGCAAAGCTACACAGAGAAACCCTGTCTTGAAAAACCAAAAAAAAAAAAAAAAAACAAACAAACAAACAAAAAAAAAACCCCAAAAAACTGTAACACTGTAAGACAGATATCTCAACACATGCCTGTAATCCCAGCACTTGAGAAACTGAGGAAGGAGGATTGCCATGAGTTTGAGTCTAGCCTAGGCTATAGATTTTGTGTCCCCCCCCCCCATTTCAAAACAACAGCAACAAATGATTGTAACATAATTTTTTACTGAATATTATAGCAAACCCTTAAAGCGGTGGTTCTCAACCTGTGGGTTGCAACCCCTTTGGCAAACCTCTATCTCCAAAAATACATCAGAGTTCACAACAGTAGCAAAATTGCTGTAACAATGAAAATAATTCTATGGTTGGGAGTCACCACAACACAAAAACCTGTATCAAAGGGCCACAGCCGTAGAAAGGTTGAGAACCGCTGACTTAAAGAGTTGTGTTTAGATGGAAGAAACATCTTTTAGTTTTCTGAAGGAATTATAGTGAAAGGTGGTCAGTGTGGTTGGAGCCAAACAACCCCATTTGGGAACTAGTGGATGTTTTCAGAGTACAGGTGGTCAAGGTGTGTGGACTTCATCTTTTCCTTTTAATGATGTGGGAAGTCATTCTAAAGTTTGGTGTGAGAAGTAACATGATCTGACTTAACTGTAGAAAGTTACCAAGTCCTATTAGGATTGGAAGAAGTTGCAAGGATATTGTATTATTGTTGATAGTACTTATTCTTTGTGTTCACATCTGCTCCACTGTCTTAATTGGCCAATCTGGTTCCAAGAGCACCTTCTTAATTTCTATAGCTCTGTTAGAACTCTCAGTATGTTCTGCAGAGTATTCAGTCAGACCCTCCTGCCGAGGCCTGACTTCCGTTCTTTTATTCTTTTCTCCTTATGAAAAGAAAGGATCGCTTCTACCTGTCACTCTGCTCTTGTATGTAGACTTTGAAATCAGCTTGCTTGACTTTATGAATTAACATGAAATGAATTGGCGTTTTTGTAGCATTGAACCATGTGAGCCTTACAATTTGAATAATTTTTATTTATTTGGATTTTCTTTAATGCCTTTGAATAAAATTTTATACCTTTGCATTAGAGATCTTAAATATCTTTTGTCATGTAAACTCCTAAATTTTTCTTTTTGTTCTTATAAATGTGATCTATTATAGAACAGGCTTTTTTTTATGGATGTTTACAACTATAATTGGTATTTATATGTGAAGCCTATGTTCAGTTCAGCTACCTTGTTAGGCACTTACACTTCTAACAGTTTGCCAGTTATTATCATATCCATTTTCTCTCCCTTCCTTCCCTCCCCCTCCCATTCCTTCCTATCCTACTACAAACAGTAATTCTTTTAAAAGGAAGAAATAAGTATCAACAAAGAAATTTCCTTTGACGCCTAGGAATCTGTAGACTTTTGAAAAATACGTGTTCCATGTAGGGTAGATAAGTAGACAGGACTCACTCTTTTAGACATGATGGTGAGAATGTAAACTGGGGCAATGTAAACTAACTCCCCCCTCCCCTCCCCTCCCTTCTGTTCCCTCCTCTCCCCTCCCCTTCTCTCCCCTCCCCATCTTCTCTCTCCCTTCCTCTGCCTTTCCATTTCCCCCATTTCTCTTTTTTCACTTTTTATTTATTATTTCTGTGTATGCATGCACGTGTGGTCAGAGGACATCCCTCGGTAGTTGATTCTTTGTTTTCATCATGTAATCTGAGGGGTTGACCTCAAGTTGCAAAGTTAAAAGTCCTTTTTCTTATCTGAGCTATCCTCAGCCCCTCTTGTTTGTTGTCCAGGCTGGCCTCCTGCTACTACCTTCTTTCTGAATGCTGGGATCATAGGTGTGCATCACCATTTCTGACTTCCTTTCAATTGATAGATAATATCTGTAGTTCTCTCTTTTGAATCCCCTACATTTATCAATTTATGTGTGTGCATGTACCCTCTACTTTGCTGGGAGGCCTAGACCTAACAAGATGTTTTAATAATGTTTAAAGAATAAGTATGAAAAGGTAGAGTTCATTGTTATATTTTTCATATATATTTTTAAAGATTTTCTTTTTAATTGTTTTCATTGTGCATGTGAGTGCAGTACCCCAGAAGGCCAGAAGAGGGTGGTGGATCCCTTGCAGCTGGAGTTGGAAGCACTTGTGGGCAGCATATGTAGGTGCTGGGAACCAAACTTGGATCCTTTGCAAGAACAAAGTTGTCTGAACCACTGAGCCATCTCTCCAGCCCCAGTGTATTTAATTAACACAAAATGAAAACTATGCCTGATAATTCACATTTAAGACCATTGGTTACAGGGTTGTTTGTTTGTTTGTTTGTGTTTGTTTCTCTCTCTCTCTTTTTTGAGACCACATTTCACTGTGTAGACCTGACTGGCCTTGAACACACAGAGATCCTCTTGCCTCTGACTTTGCCTCCCAAGTGTTGGGATTAAAGGAGTATTTCACTATGCCTAGCTGTTGCAGGTTCTGTATGGTCACATATCTCTATCAGGATAAGAACATTTAAAAATCATTTAATTGTGGATATTCTAATTCTTTGGAAGTCCTTTATATTTTCATAAATATAGTTTATAAATATAGTTTATTTTTTTACCATCATATTTGAGAGAATACTTCCGGTCTACATATTATATGGAGTACTCTTATTTTATTTTAAAGTTTGAGATTCTACAGGCAACAAAAAATGTTTTGTTTAGATTTCTTTCTTTTATAACTTTTTTTAAAACTCAGTTTGTAGAAGCAGGGCAAGTTATTTTTTTTAAATAAAAGAACTAGAAAAAACAAAGAAAAAGGCTAGAGCATTGTGTTCTCTAACCTCAGTATTGTCAAACTCAGTACTGTCTAATCCGTAAACATTTCAGTTTTGTCTGTTTCGTTTTGATCTTGAACTCAATTTGACCGAGGCTAGGTATGAACTCCCAGTCCTCCTGCTTTGGCATCCTAAGTGCCAAAATGACAATCATATACCACCACATCTGGATAGATTTAGGCTTTACATTTCTGGTAGAATTGCCACAGAAGTTGTGATGTGATGTGTTCTATTGGGAGACCTATGATGTTGGTTTCTTCCATTACTTACCATACTGACTTTGAGTACTTATTATGGTTGTACCTGGCAGGATTCTTCACTATTTTAATATTACACTTTGTCTTTTTGTGAGTATTAGGTTCCTTGTGGGTAGATGGTTTGAGACAAGATATATTGCTTTTCTTGTAACTTTCAACTATAAGTTTTAGCACATTACCAAAGTGATTGCCAAATGGAGACTTTGTAATTCCATTACTACCTTTATAATTTGTTATAAAATTTCATAAAAAGCTTTGCCTGCCTTTATTTATAGACAAATATTTTTATTTCAGTCTATAGATTATAATTTATGAATGTCTTCATTATTTTTTTTTACTGGTAAGATAGTACCCTTATGGCCAGTATGAGTCAGTTTAGCTTGGCTCCTAGTCCATTTGCTATGCCCCCATTGTCCTTGGAGCAGTTCCTTAATTTCTGGCTCTGTACTTCTTCTGCACTAGTCTTCAATTAGTCACTGCTCCAAAGAACCAGAAGTCCTTTCAGTAGAGTATGCACTGTGCTCAGAGCTGTTGGTGTGCCATGATTTGTAGGCTCCCTCAGGGCACAGAGCTAGGGAACATGTGTATGCGAGGACATAAACATTTACATCATTTTTTTACCCTTTCACAATTGCATTTCCCTTTTGTGAAAGTAAGAAATGAAAGTCTCAGTCCAGCATGGGGAAGGAAGGTAGGTCTCATAAGGCCCCCACCCTTAGCAGAGGACTTGTTGGCAGTTGATAGACACTGTCGGTTTTCTTCAGGGATGTGGCCCCGGGTAGGGTGTCTATGTTCCAGTGGATGGCGCCCTACACCCATGCACATACTGGCTACACTAACTGGACTCTGCATGTTAGTTAAAAAAAAAAAAAGGGACGTGAGGTTGGGAAGTCGTGGTGGGTATCCAGAAGGAGTTCAAGGTTCAGGTCTAGGGAAGCAAGGTTTTTGTTTTGTGTGTGTGTGTGTGTGTGTGTGTGTGTGTGTGTGTGTGTGTGTGTGTGATGTATTAATGTATGAAATTACCAAAGAATAAAAATAATTAAAAACAGAAACAGCGGTAGCATTAGTCTTTATATACTTACCTGTTCAGTTCTAGAATATAGATAGAGAAGTTTCTTGTCAACTAGGTGTGATGGCACACACCTTTAGTCTGAGCACTCCAGCAAACAGGTGTCAGAGGCACATGAATCTCTGAGTTCCAGCCAGTGTCTCTCTACATAGTGAGACACTGTTTTTTTTTTTTTATGTTCTATCACTTAAAGAAAACATTTAAGATCTAAGTGGTTGAGTACAATGTTTTCATTTTTAGGTTGAGGATTTTAGGTAAAGTACCATTTTCAAAAGTTAAATGGTCCCCCCTTAATTGTGGTCATGGTATTAATTTTAAATTATGAGAGGTTCATTTCATTTGAGATTCTTTCTCCATACTTTTTTTTTACAGCATATGGAACATTAACATGGATTTAAAAATATTTTTAAAAGGATAATTAACATGGATTTAAAAATATTTTAAAAAGGCTATAATAGGTTGAGTATTGTAACATGATATACTAACACTGTTTCATTGTGTTTGTTCTTTCAGGACCTCACCATTGAACAAATGTATGGAAGTTCCTTGCCAAGCATTCTTCATTGGGACATTTTTTTCCTGCTTACCGAATAACTTTTTCAAAAGTTCCTTTTTTGGTGCCATGTTCTGTGGCTTACATCAAAAGAGGAGTTTGTCTTCATGAAGATTCCTAACATTGGTAATGTGATGAATAAATTTGAGATCCTTGGGGTTGTAGGTGAAGGTAAGTTAGAATTCCACCTTTGAACTTTGGAGCATTATGTCATTTTATCCATCACCAAAAACTTTATTCGGATTCTCTTAATTTAGCGTATCAATTCAGATGTGCACCTAAGGGTACAGTAGTAAAAATAGAACTGCTCTTCCACTATCTGGTTCTTATTCTCCAAGTAAAAGCCAATAACACTTAAAAACCCGTTGAAGTTTAATAGATATTTTTTTTGAGACCAAGTCTCTCTGCAGCTCTGGTGTCCTGTAGCCCAGGCTGATTTCAACTCACAGAGATCCGCCTGTCTCTGCCTCCCGAGTGCTGGGATTAAAGGTGTGCGCCACCACCACCACCGGGCCATCAGGGATATTTTAAAATTGTCCTGATTTGATTCTTTTCACTAGCATAGTTTCCGTAGTCTATGTATTTTTGTTATATTTACATTTTAGATCATTTAAACTTATTTTAAGTAACTTACATTTTATTTGTATGTGCTAACTTTGGTTTACTATATGGTAAACAAACAGATAAATAACTTCCATTTCTTTGAGAATGACAGGCCATAGTTTTCAAGCTTTCAGGTGTACAGTTTGGTTATATTTTTTAACATCAAGTATGCATGTTAGAGTTTGAATGCTATTAATTTTTCTTCCTTGTAGTGCATAACATGATGCTTTTATGACCAGAGATACTATTGATTTGATAAAGTATAATTCATTTTTCAAAAATAGAATCCTAGAAAAAGATAATTACCCTGATTTTCTTGCTTAGTCATTTTGACCCTTAGAGATAACTTTACAGAAATTTATAAAAATTATTTTAATAGAATATCAGTGAAAATGTGGTTTCTTAACATTTATAAAAATATTAAAAAATTTTGTATTTTACATTTTTAAAATAAAATGTGAATTTCAAAAATTTTAAAAATTTACAGAGCTCTTCAAGATTTTAATATTAGGTTGCCAAATCCCTCTCCAATAATAGAAACAATAAGAGTCTGATTATTAATAAGGTGCTTGTTTCAAGGTCTAAAGTTCAAACCACACCAAAAAAAAATGGTCCTTCTTCCTTCGCTAGTCACCTCCTTTTCTTCTCTTCGTTGATATTATGTAATGAAAATTCTTTCTTAATGCTTACCTGTTTTATAAAATTCGTCAGCAAGATGGCTCAGCCAATAAAGGTGCTTGCTGCCCATCCTGAGAACTCACGTTCTGTCCCAGGACCCACAGGTGAAAGGAGAAAACCGACTCCACAGAGTTGTCCTCTCAGCTCTACGTGCACTGTGGCATTCGTGCTTTTTCCAGTTTTAGTTTTCAAAGCTATTGCAGTTAAAGACTAATGCAGTCAAGGGAGAAGGGCATGTAAAGTGTAACAAGGTTGGAATGTTCCAAAGTTTGGCTCTGACTGTCTAGATTATAACCTTCTTTTCCTAAGTGTCTATTCATGATAGTCTTCTTAGGTATTGGTTCAGATTAGCCAAAATCGCAAGGCTGTTTGTTTAAGTTATAGTCAAACATTGTTGTTTTCTTTGTAAACCGACTCAGTGAATTTTGGAGTAGGAAGTGCTTCTGTCAGGCATACATTTCTATAGCCTAGATGATGCATTTTCACCTCATAGAAAAGTTTATGTGGATTGGCTGTTTCTTGGTGATTGTGGAGCTAGTTTGGATGGTTCTAATTGCTGTTTCCATCTTAACTATGATTCTAAAATTCATGCCTCTCCACCAAAGTGAAGGAGCCACTTGACGGTATCCTACACTCTTAGAGACGTATTTCCCAGTTTCGTCCCACTCAAGTCCACCCCCTTCTCATAGTTGCATTCCAGATTTACCTCTTTGGTAACAAAAATGTTTGTGATGTTTCTTCAGAGCTCCATCATCATGTATGTTATGTCTTGATTCTTTTTTTGTTTTGTTTTGTTTTGTTTGAGACAGGGTTTCTCTGTCTATAGTAGCCCTGGCTGTCCTGGAACTTACTCTGTAGATCAAGCTGACACTGAATTCACAGAGATCCACCTGCCTCTGCCTCCCCAGTGCTGGGATTAGAGGCGTGGGCCACCACCACCTAGCTGTCTTGATTCTTTTAATTAGATTTTTTACATTGTAATTTTAACCTCAGTTTTCTAGGTACTTTCCTGCCAAGGTACTGTTTCTTTGTTCTGCTTCTAGCCAAGTGAGTTTACTACCTACATAATAGGATGGCTAACTCAAGAGATAGGAAGAGATCATATCAGAATAAACCAAAAAAAGTGGGAGTTCTCGGGGTCTATGTCCATAAACTGAGCTTTTATGGTTAGAAGGGTAGAAACTTTTACTATTTAATGGGATGACTGAGACTGGTAGTTTTGGGGTGTGTGTGTGTGTATGTGTGGTACTGGACATAGGACCCAGGACCTCATGCATGGAAGGCAAGCACTCTACCACTGAACCTCACCCCTAGCTCCAACCTATAATATTCTGCCTCTTTGGAAATCTATTACAGTATTCTAAGCATTACGTGACTCCTAGGATAGATCTTATTTGGGTAGGCCCTGCGTTTGACCTTACTCTTGGGAAATTATTAGATTTTAAGTTTTAAGTTCCCTAGAACTTATTGAGTTGATTTTTATGTGCTTAAAAAGTCCTTTTTTTAGGTACCAAGCCATGTGGCTAAACATAGATAGGAATTATGGCTTAAGTGTAAGAACCAGTTAGTAATAAGCCTGAGCTACCAGCTGAGCATTTATAATTTTAAAAAAAGTCCTTTTTTTGAAATGTTATCTTGTTGTGTACCCCTGGTTGGCTTGGTACTCACTGTGTAGTCCAGGTTGGCCTCACACTGATGACAGCCATCTTGCCTCAGCCTCCCAAGTGCAGTGACTGCAGTGTGCACCACTATGCCCAGTTCACACAGCCTCACAACCCTATAATCTATTTATTTATTTATTTATTTTACCCCTTCTTACCTAAAATAACAAATGTGTGTAGTGAAGATTTCTTTTTAAAAAGAAACATTTCAAAATACTTATTGGAAGCAATGACTTGTCTATATTCTTGGTGTATAAAAAAAATACTAACAGATTCATGCTCTATTTGTGTGTGTCTCTGATTTTATCATTCTAGAATATTGTCTTAGGTGTTGTTATTCTAACATATACTCATAAGCAATATAAATATAGAACTATGCTTTGTATGCATGTCTCTGATTGCTTACTTCTTTTTAATTATAGGAGCCTATGGAGTTGTACTTAAATGCAGACACAAGGCAAGTACATGAATTTTACAAGGAAAAATATGTATATGTATTATTTCAGCTGTTTTGAAACTAACGCAATGTTCTTTATATGTGAGCATGTAATTAAAATTGTCTGGTTTAGTGGTGACTCTTAATGAAATAGAATTGATATGTGAACCCAGAGAAAAGGCAACTTTTGGGATAAACATGGTCATGGTTAATGATCATTAGCTTTTTTTCAGCTACATACTATTTTTGTAAGCCAATCTATGTGTGAAAAGTTATATAATGGGAAGAAGAGGTTTGATGGAAAGAAGGAAGCAAGATAGTGCTATATTAAATTTATATTCAGTTACTTAGGAGCGAGGAGGAGTCTTGTTGTGAGATTTTCATGCAGACCCAGTTGACTACTTGATGGATTCCCATCTGAGATTTGAAAGGTAGTGAGTGGGTAGATGTTTGGCGATGTACTGGGATTTGGGATAATAGTATATTGTTGTGAGTACTGGCTATGGTTGATCACTCTCAAAATCAATCTTATTATAGGTTTTTGACTGCAGCAACCATAAATTATTCATAAAGTCACTTGAAGTTTCATAGCTGTTGCTTAGTGAATGCATCTCACTCAGAGACTAAATTTAAGATGGCAAGTGTTGAAATTGCAACAGTTTTAAAGACATGGTTAAATATTTTTCCATTTGAATGTATCTACTCAAAGTATTGGTATTTGGCCTCATGTTGTTTTAATTTTAAGATCAAGGCTTTAATATTTTGTGATTTTTTTTTAGTGATACAGTTTGGGTCTGAAATGAGTTCAACTATTGGACTCAAACATTTAATCATTTGAATCTATCATCCATAAATAATAATATATATCTGTAAATAATGAAAGCTTTTATGTTGGCTTTTTCTTATAAATATTTGCAGCCTTTTGATTTTAGAGTCCATGACAGTATGGTTTTGTGGTTTGCATCACGGATCGATTTTGATACAATGACTTCTCAATTCTTGAATTTGGATGTTTGTATTACTTTTATGTTGAACAGTTATCTGTAGCTCTTTGTCAGTAGCTAATCCTCAAAAGTGGAATGCTACTGGCTCTTGATTAAGGATGATTAAGAATTGAAAATAAATGCAATCAAAATAAATTTAGTACCTTGAATGTCTCGTTAAGAAGTATTACTGTAGTTTGAAATTAAATAAATGGAAAGTTCCCTAATGAAATGCTCTTCTTTTAATGAGTATCCTTGAGTTATAATATATTTCTAAAGCTTAAAAAACCAGAATTCTTGGGGGGGGGGGGTGTTATTACTTGTGAGAAACAGGGTGTTAGATTCCAATTTAAATTTGACTCTTGTGAACGTAATACTTTTCTGCTATGGCTCTATTTTGTGCAGCATTGTAAATGAAGTTTCAGTTCTTATTTGTGGGTTTTACTTTTTTATTATTGTTTTTTGAGACATGGTCTCCAAAATCCCAGGCTGTCCTCAAACTCACTGTGTAGGCTGGAATGGATGACATTGAACTTCTAATCTCTTGCCTCTACCACTAGAGTTCTAGGATTAACAGTTGTTTGCCACTGCAGCCAGGTTATGCAGTGTTGGGGATTTGAACCCAGGGCTCCTGTGAATATGAGACAAGTACTCTATGAAGTGAGCTACATCTGTACTCAGTCCTAGTGGTGGGTTTTGAACCATAAGGAATTAGGAGATACGAACATGTCTAGCATGCATATACATACATATGTATTATTTGCTTTTCTAGTATGTTAAATATATATTTAAGTACTATAAATGTTTTCTGCTAGTCTTTTTTATTTATTGACCTTTAGCCTTTTCTTTGTCTTTTGATTTTTTTTTCTGGTGGGGGGAGTGGTTTGAGAGAAGGTCTCACGTAGTCCAAACTGTCATCAAACTTCCTATGTAGGTTGGAACTCCTTGTCTTCCTTAACTGAGGTTAGAAAGTATGCACCATCACACCCAGCAGGATGCAATTTCATTTGCAGAAGACTAAAAATAGATAGTTTTTAAAGTAACTATTTTCATATAGACCGTAAGGGCAAGAAAACTATGGTATATTCATCCTTGTAATTCAAAATGCTGTACATATAGTTACTAGGAATCAGAGTTTACATTCAAAATCGGGTTTCCCAAAAGCAGAGGATGCCCTCTCCCATCCACTTTCCTTCAGGCCCATCTTGCTGGTACTATGTATTATCAAAATCAAATATATGAGCCGTGTGGCAGTGGTGGTACATGCCTTTAATCCCAGCACTCGGGAGGCAGAGCCAGGCGGATCTCTGTGAGTTCGAGGCCAGCCTGGGCTACCAAGTGAGTTCCAGGACAGGCTCTAAAGCTACACAGAGAAACCCTGTCTTGAAAAACAAAAAAACAAAACAAACAAACAAACAAAAACCCCCAAAACAAGTATATGTAAAGACAATAGTCTAACAAACAAGTAAATGGAAAGCTGAAAACAAAATACTGCAGCTGGAGGTGCAGCTCATTTGATAGAGTGCTTACCTGGTTCAATCCACAGGATAACATAAAACAGGCATGGTGGCACACACCTGTAGTCCTGGCACTTGGGAGATGGAGGTAGGAAGGTAAGGGATTCCAGGTTCAAACCAGATAGCCTGGACTTGCATCTAAAATTTATCTTTTCCTGCTTTTCACTAAATGAAAGACTCAGATCAGCATTCAAAGTATTGTTGTTTGTCCCTTTCATGCATCTAAAAAGATTATCACAGGATGGAAAATTTAAAGCATAAATTAGTGCCTAACTCAGAATAATCTGAAACTCTTTTTAGCATCGGCAGCTGTTTAGTCGCTTGACTTGTTAGAGTATATCCTTTTCCCAGCTAAAATCAGACCTTCAAATCTATGCTCCGTTATATAAAAATAGAGAATCTGATGCGCCTCATAGGATTTATGCTGTAGAATCAAATGAACAGATTACTATGGAGTTCATGTTATAGTTAAATTATATGTGATCCTCCTTATTGTGTTCATTATATGAAAAATAATTGCATTAATATATTTGCATATCTAACATTTTGGTGAGATGCTTAAAAATTTATGCATTACATCTATATGATTTTTTTATACAGTAAGCTTGTTTCTTAATCAGCTATTGTTAGGTATGGATATATATATATATATATATTATAATAACCATCATAATAATGTTATATATAATTAAATAATTCATAATGCATTGTACATCTAAGCAAGTATGAAAATCATTTTAGACCTGTATACTGATAAGAGGTTTAGAGGTCAAATATTGCTTGTCTTTCTGAACATAATATGGTAGGCTATTCTAGCCCAAAGGCTATAATTTTTTTTTCTTCAACTATTTCTTTTTGAGATTATAATTACATCATTTCTCACCTTTTCTTTCCTCCCTTCAAGCCCTCCCGTATACCCTTCCTCCTTCTCTTTCAAATTTATGGTCTCATTTTTCCTTAATTGTTTTTACATACATGTGTGTGCATGCATATATATATATATGCATATATAAATATACATATAAGTGCAACCTCCTTAGTCTGTATAATATTTATTGTATGTATGTTTTCAGGGCTAACCATTTAGTACCGAATAACCAATTGGTGTGCTCTTCTCTAGACTCCAGCACCTAAGGCTCTTATAGGTGACTTATAGGAGACTATACTTGCTTGCTTGCTTGATTGATTGTGGTGTGGTACAACAGGGTATACATGTGGAAGTCAGAGGACAATTTTCAGGAGTGGGTTTTCTCTTTCCACCACATGGGTTCTGGGGATTAAACTCAGGTTTGGTGGCAAGTACTTTTACATACTGTGCTATCTCACACTCTGAAGATTCTGCTCAATTAAAAATATATAGCTTGTGCTTTTTTGATAGCTTCTGTTTATTGTTATGTATACACATTTGCATGTATCCGAAAAGGTCTTAGCAATGACTAAGCTTCTGTTTATAATGCCTTATGACTACTTATATTCGTAAGATACACTGTTTTTAACTTTTACCCTACACAGATACCCTCACTGCTTTTGATGATGAACTGTTACATGAACTGTGAGTGGAACAAACTCTTTCCTTCCTCAAGTTGCTTTTGGCCATGAAAGCCATAGTAACCCTCACTAAGTCACTAGTAACAAATACCTTTATTTCTCTGGACTGGGGAGACATTCTTGGTTGTTTATTACTCAGTTGTTCGTTTATCTTTTGTTATAAGGCTTCATTGTTAGTTTTTTAAATTTGTTTTTTTGTTTGTTTGTTTTTTTGGGGAGAGGAGGTCTCCTCATAATGTAATCCAGGCTTTCCTGAAACTCACTGTGAACCTTAGGCTAGCCTTGGTTCTCCTGCCTTAGCTACCTGAGTGCTGGGGATATAGGCTGGAGCCGTCTTGCCTGACCAGACTTCATTGTTAACGGTATACTTTTTCTTTTTCTTTTGAGATAGTGTCTTCCACTGTAGCCTAGGATGCCCTGGAATTCATTGTGTAGCTTAAGTAGGCCTCAAAGATGTAGCAATCCTTCTACTTTATCCAAGAGCTAGGATTCAGGCATGAGCTATCACACCTTACAGGAGCATATATAGTGATTCCTTTTGCTTTTCTCCTAAACAAAACAAGAATTTCTGGCCTTTTTAAACATCAAATTGTATTAAGGCAATATTGAGGAAAAGCCAATAACCAATCTCCAATTTAACAGTTTCTTTATAGTTTGGGGGCATATATTTACTTTGGGCAAATGGCTGCCACCTGAAACCATGCAGTATTTTCTACTAAAACTAAACTTGCTTTTTAAAACCACGTTAAAAAAGCAAATCTTTCTCATTACTATTTAGTTTTAGGCTTCATATGTGAATTACAATTTTAAAACAAAGATCAAAGAGATGAGTCAGGTAGAAGAGAAGTTTGTTATATCATTTTCTCCATCATTGCTTTCCTCTTTATTTAAATAATATCAAAGTTCTTACTTCTTGTGAGTAAAATTTTTATTAATTAAAATCACAACGAAACTTAGGGTTGTAATAAAGATT